GGTAGATCTTTCTATTCTGCTTTTACTGCTGATATGTCTTTAAAAATCCCACCTGCACACCGAGGCCATAGCTTCAGCATTAGCTCTTTAACTCACTTTTTTTTTTTTTTTTCCTTTTGGATTAGATGCATTTTGTGAAGTAATATCTGCAGTTATTCATCAAAGAAAGAAATAATCTCAACCTCCCAAAAATCTATATCCCTGGCACAATCCCCTCTTGCCTTCGTTGAAGTCAGCACTTTGAAGCTGCTTCGTATTCACACGCTGTGCTCTGAAGACTGTAGGCCTACAGCAGCAGGGTTTGTTTTCACAATGACAAAAGAAGCACGTTTCCTCATCTCTATCGCCAAGCTCTAAAATATTGATCACTGTTCATAATAACTTGCAGAGTAGGCACTCATCAAGCAGACCTGGAAACAGAAATAGGCCCCATGTGCAGCATACAAATCCAACCCTGAAGACCAAAGTTCATTCCCAGCATGGTGTTATATATTCAAGTGCACATTTTATATCATACTATTTGCGACCAGATGGGTTGTTTCTTTACCTCATATAGATCGACCATGACGTTGCCCTCGGGGCCCATGCTGCTGACCACGTTCTCCAGAGCCAGAGTGTAGTAGACCCCTGATGTGTCTGACACATACAGGTTGTAGGTTTCGTTCTGGTTCCACTCCTGTACGGCTGCCACCACACGGTTCTCATCCGTACTGATCACATGCAGGTCCTGGCAGAGAGAGAAATGTATGAGGTTACAATGGCACACTAGATAACCACACTGTTGTATATTATCCTCCATCATTCCCTTATCATTCTGTTTTGTATTATGTGCAGCTTTTATGTGGCTATTTGTCTTTAGCTTATATCTGTGCTGTGGTATATGATCGTTCAAAGTAAAATCTATCATAATAACATGAAAAAGATTTGTTCCAGCATTAATATGATCTTGTCAGAATGGTGAGAAACTAGGTACATATTTTTTGACATGATGGAAGCACTATGCTGGATTTTCAACTTATCATATCACTACATGGAATGTTACAATAAATAAATGAATGTTATGTTAGTGTTTCATTAAAATTAAGCATCGTTTTATAAAGAGAAACTACATGATGTTATGTTTATTTTGTGGCAGCATTAAGCTCCCACAGATTAGTGCATTCAAATCTACTGTACATTGTAATAAAGATGCAGCAAACTCTCTTAAACACACTGTGTAAGTACTGAGATTACAAAATTCACATTGATCTGAAATAAATACAATACAAATACATTTAATCTGAACACACCCTTATACATCATGTAATCAACATCTCCTCTCAAGATGCCGTCGGTGCCGATAAGGAAAAATAAACTTTTATATTGTATACTGCTCTTGACCCCTGCTGGGTTTAATCATATGCAACAATCAGATATGCTACATCTTCTGCATTCACATATTTTAACTCAGTCATTAACACTACGCCAGGCTTATTGGGCAGAGATTATGCAGCTGAGGCCATGCTGTTCGGTTCCCTTCTTCATCTGCCTCTCACTGTGCCAATAGCACCTCGCAGTGAGCCGACAGCAACCAGGGAGGGGGGCCCGGGGCTTGATTGAATAAAACATGTTTAATTGTCAATGGAGGACGTGACAGGCAAGGCAGTGTGCATGCAGAGCAGCACGGAATAACAACTCTGGGAACACTGTCGAGAGTTGCTTTTGGTCTTGATTTGCCAATAAATAACAAAAGGAGTGTCACACAGAGGCAGCGCTTTACCGCAACTTTAGTCCACGTAAGTGAACAGAGCTGGGAGCGTACTGATGTGTGCGTCTGCATGCAGAGAACGTCCGCAGGCTGCAGCTCTACATTCCTCTCATGTATCCTTGGTGACAGATGATGAGATATGGACTCTGACCAAAGATCAGTTAATTATTCTCAAATCTGTTCATTTTGATGTAATGTTAAGCTGCAGGTATTATGTTATTTACCTTGGGTAGGGTGTACTTGGGCAGCTTCATCGGAGTGAAGACGTCTCTTTTAGCAGACACGTAGTAGATTGGCCTCCCCGCAGTTGATACCTTAAGGTGATGAAGGCGTCAGGTGTAAACATTTAGGAGACACACGTAGAATAAAGTCACCACAGGGACACATAAAGCTACACTTACAGCACCTGTCTAACAATGACCTTGAGGAATTTCTTGCAAAATCCTGACACTTCATACCTCATACACTGTTACAATGTTTTTCACGGAGTAAACTGGCCAATTACCCACCTGGACAAACACATACTCATCTTGCACCACCAGAGAATTGGGGTCAATGTAGCCCGGGAATGGTTTGCCCTTGTTGGCATCTGTGCAGTTCTGCAGCTTGCAGGTGACATACAGTGCCTCTGCTCCCACACACACACACACACAAAGACACACACAAGCACAGTTGTCAAGCCATGGCTTCTGCAATGGTATTAGCCAATGAAGAAAGGCAGCCTTCACCCAGAACCAAGCGGCCTCCTTTGGCTTCCTACATTACTCGTGTCAATAAAGTGGTCCCAGTAAGGGAGGAGCCGGGCGGAGGGGAAGACAGATGACCACAGAGGCCAATTGCTTTCTTTGCCTTCAATCGCAGCTGGGAGAGAGCTGTCCCCACGTGTTAGCCTCTGCCAAAAAAGTGTTGGCTTCCTCCATGCGCACATGATCAATAGTGATAGTCCCTGGCTATACAACTGTAACATCTGACACGACTAATGTTTGCTGTGTGTGTTTGCATGGCTGTCTCTGTCTATTGTGTTGGCTTCAAAACGGGTGTTCTACCAGAAAGATGGCACAGATACTTTGAGAGCTTTTTGGAAATGAGTGAACTGAGAAAGGATGTGGTATTAATTGAGTATTAAAGGGGCACTCCATCAGCTTTGTGTTGCACTAATGCAAAGTGAGGAGGCTCACAGAAGGCAGACTGAAAGAAGAAGGTAGCAGCAGAATCTTTTCTTCTCTGATGTGGGTCCAACTTCATAACTGTTGACTCCTTAATTTCTCACAATGCACGTGATCAAAACCCAAGTCAGGATTACCACCTAATGACTTCATCAACCCTTGATGACAATACATTATATGTTATACTATGACATATACACCATGTTAGTAAAGTGCTTTTTAAAATCACTCACCAAAGACTACAAACTATTAAAAAAGATGGAGATCTCCTTCAAAACATGATTTAAAAAGTTTGTGAAATGTATTGCAAATATATGATTTGTTTATACAATTACCTAAAAGTCTAAATCTTAAATGGCTTGGAAAGAATATCAATAATAAATTGGAGGAATTATGGGGAGAAAAAAACTGGAAAAGATGTCGTAAGTAAATTAAGCCAAATTCTATATATCAACTCACAATATCCCAGTGTTCATTGTCATTCAGGAGAATAAGTGACATTTCTTGGCCACTGAGCTAAATCACTTGCTTTTAAAAGCATTCTAATATATGCATTACTTTTCTCTCCATTGTCATTGTCTGTCCCCAGACTTGGCCATTTGCGATGTCCCTTTGCATTACCCTTCAGCAGAATTGTCCACACAAATCCTGGTTCCTCTCTACTTTAGGACAATGCTCAGGGTACAGTACAAAGACACCAGAAAATGGCGAGCTGAACTCAGAATTCAATTACTTACGTCCTTCAGAGATGCTGGTTTCCAGGTGAATTAGGCCCGGCTCTTTGTCCAGACCCATTTTCGACCTGAAAGGAGGACAAATGTGTTTGAGGAACATCACTGCTGGTCTTGTGCTGCTGGGCAGATGGTACCTACCGTAGATGCTGTCTGACTTGAGCGATTGCATGCTGCAAAGTCAGACAAATGTATAAATACAGCGGGGGTAAGACAAGTGCTATGACAGTTGTGGTAAACATCAGCGAGGAATCGGCTGCATAAATTACCACGTCTTTGTCTTCATTGTCAGTGTCAGTTTAAAGTGGGGGGAAAAGAAAGACCTCAGGTTTACTATGTGATCTAAATGTTCAGAGGCCCCAGAAGGTCCTTTCCCCCCATAGAAAGATGGAAGAGGATGTTTCCTGACATCATTAGGAGAGGAAAAGCCATTGATTTTCCTCGCTACAGTCGGGATGCCCGCAGTTGGAATAGCATATAATCATTACGGCATTAAATATGTATTAAAAAGACTGGGGGATCAGAGGAGAAGCAAAGGCAGAACACACATGGAGGGGGGAGAGAGACGGGGAGGAGGAGGAGAGAGAGAGAGAGAATGTGTGGACAGGTAGCACACATATAAATTGGGATAGAAATAAAAGGGGTCTGTGTGAGAGGAATGAGAAGCAGACACAGTGAGAGATAGAGACCACCTTAGCCTCTAATCATTATGCTTATCGGTCGTATTGGTGATTTCCCAGATGAAACACAACTATGAATATGATGGTCTACTTATTCAAATTTATATTTCCATTTTTTTCCTGAATAATCCATTCAGGTACCTAAGAGCAGTGTGAGGCAGCCAAAGAAAAAGTCTTTGAGTAAGCGGAGCTATATGGTTTGTTTAAGCTTGGGAGGCCACCCTCATCTTTTAAGTTGCTGTGCCTACAGTGGTGTGGATGTGTGACACTGGTTTGGGCAGTTGTATGGTGTGTGTGGAGACTTAGCAACAGAACTTAAACGTGAGATGGAGCAAGTGCCTTGCAAAATATCACACACAGGCTGCTGCACATGTTATTTTGAAGGGATATGCATCGTCACATATTAAGCATAACATTTTATGACTGCACACAACAAGCTCACAAAACCGATTATAGCTGAATGTGGGAAAATGTAGCGCACTGTTTGTTACCATTCAAACCGACCAGTGCTGTGAGGCTGAACACTGCTCAGGTCGAATATAGGTCCAAATAATATACTTACACTCTTCATCTTCCTTATATGTTTGGTGGCCAAATGTGCAGCAGACATAAGCTCCCTCTGCAGCCTCATTATCAGGGCTTCCACCACACCTACCGCACAGTGTGTGTCCTAAAATAGAACTCTGACAGCTTCTGCAGCATCAGCCCTCCAGGCTCCCTTCACTCCTGGCTGCCCAGCTTGTTACTACCCTGACAGTTCCTTCACAGTTTGCTGAGGTAAAAGCTTTTTGTCTCATGTTAGTAACTATGTAGGGGGCAGACACCACTGGTTTAGACAGCATCTGTGTGGTGTTGAAACTGTTGGAGCTGGGGAAAGTATGGAAACCTGGTCTCAGTGACGTTGAATGTATTAAATAAAGGTATGCATGTGTCTGAAAGAATGGAAATGACAACACATAAATAGAGCATTATGTCATCATTTGGGTTTAAAGGCCTTTGAACAGATTATTTACACCCTGTGAAAAGGAAACCAATACTAAGACTTAACCAAAGACTCATTTTGAAGCCTCCCTTTTATAGCTGAACACTGTCAGTCACAAAAAGTAAAATCAGGCATGTCAGACACATGAATTATTCAAATCTTAAAAACCTCTCTGGCTCATCAACTCGTAACTCCAGAATGACTTAGTCTGTCCAGGACATATACAGTGTCTCTCCACTTGGATTTCAATTCAACATTACCTTAAGCTTTAGGTTCCAGGCAGTTACTGTTTTTACTTCTTAGCATCAAATCAAAAGTGCATCAACTGCATGAAATACAGTGTTGATTACAAATTTGAGCTTCATGTTCTCAGGAATGGTCTCAGTAGTTTTCCAGACATCTGGAACTGAGCAAACTCAGAAAGCTCAATAAATCAGAACAATGACTGACAAATGAATCTGTTTTATATTGAATATTCATTAACATCACTTGATGAATTATGATAAATGCATCATTCTGTATTGTTTCGATGTCTGGAGAGTGGCATGTGTAGTTTTGATCAGTTCAAGAAGACCAACAGAGAGGTGAGTTCTCTCTAGATCATTCTCCTGCTATTGAGTTGCAGCTATAGTAGCTCAGCATCAGTCAAATACCAGCTAATTAATGGGATTATTATATCAAGACTCTTGTTAGAAAAATATTTAATAATGTATGCATATGGCTAATGTAACTATCTTACTAAGTGGGAGGTAAATTAGTAAAATGTTCTTTAGAATATATTAGTTCAGTTCAACTTTTTTCGTGGGCTTTATTAAAAAAACAAAACAAAAAAAAACAACCACCACAACGTAATTGCATAATTCTATTTAATTTTCATCTAGAAAGACCAATTTCCTTGGGCTTTTCAATGTTTAATACAAACTTGGAGTTGAATTTGTGTGTGTACATACATATTATGGAGCTACTTCAAAATGTAACCGGGTCCAGGCCTGTGTACTCACCAGTAGAAGCGATTCGGAGCCACTCTCTCATGCACCAGTTGCCACCTCCTCCCAAACTCCACTGAGCTGTAGAGCTGCAGAAAGACAAACAGGCATCACTGAGTTTTCATTCACATAGCATCTTAACAGCCGATCAAATTTATCATTTTGTACGACACTAGCTGCCGTACTATCAAATGCTGTTTGCCTTCTAAATAATGTGCACTTGGGTTTGCTTTCACACATTGATTTACTTAGTAGCTTCATCAACCTTCGAACAGCAGCAGAGGAGCAATGAGAGGGAGATCAGCTCTCACAGGGTCTCACGGGCACACAATACTAAACTTGAATGGACACCAGACCCATACCCTGACCTCAACCATATCAACTAGCTATCGAACCCAAACCCTAGACTAAACATAATTCTAAATTCTCAAACAGTCCACAGAACAGGACTGGCCAAGATGTCCTCACACGCTTTGTCAAAGGTCAGTTTTGGAGATATGGACTTGCATTAATATCCGAGAGACTTCCGGGACCCGAATCCTCTGACCATAACCACTTGCCTGCCCCTGCTCTGAACCTTTATCCAGGGGCAAGCAGCTCGTAGAGAGCACCAGGTGACCTGAGGCTGATTTTGATCAGACTCTTGAGCATTCAACTTGACCAGTGATTATATAACAAGCAGGAGTTGAAAGACTTCTCTCATCACCTCAGGTGCATGACGGCTTTCACACTACTGCTGCTGCTGCCAACTCTGTCTTTTTCCACTGAGTTTGCCTTTAATAGTCATCAATAAAAGCCTATACAAATTATTATATTAATAACAATCTAATAATAATAGCCATCATCCATTGTTGATGAGCAAGGCAGAGAGAAAGAAAAAAGAGAGAGAAACAGCACAGTTTCCAATCTCTCCTGTGATAACATGCAATTTCTAAAATCATTAAAAATCCATTGTTTTAAATGTATATTTGTTGGTATGCCACAGATGATTGTAGTTTGTAACCTGGATCCCTACAGATGAAGAGAGCAGCCATATTTACACCTTGTTCACCTGTTACACCAACAAACAAGAATACACCAAAACACTTGCAGTCTGATGGTTTAAATTAGTTCAATTAATGACCTTAACCTCAACCAGTAATCCGAAAATATACAGCTGGGGGCAGTTGCCTTTAGTCTGAAATTTGTTTCCAAAGGTAGCCCACACCCAGCACACGCATCCAGCACACACACACACACACACACACACACACACACACACACTCACACACACACATGTACTTAGAGGTTCTTTATTTAAAATTGGAACCTAAATTGGATTAGAATTTAAATCAGATTCAAACAGAGAGGAATAACGTGGCATGCAGGACACTAAAACCGTATGCCTTTCTCATAAAAATATTCATTACTGCAGAGGCACACGGGGGCATATACAATAAAAACCACAATAATAATGGAACTGTAAAGAAATATGTGCAGGATGCAGGGTTTCCTGAACCAAAGAAATGTTGCTGTGGCTGTAACAAGCCTGTGAATGGGAGGGGGGAAGGGGGAGAATAGGAGAGGAGCCAGAGGTGGTCTGAATACAGCCATTGTTCACTTGTCAGTAAATCACTGGATTGCTCAGATTCTATCTCAGTGCACAGAAAGGGCAGAGGCAGCATGTCCAATCCTTGTGTGATGGAACTACGGTAATTGGCCACATACATAAGAACCTACATGTGTCTTAATTTGTTCCCACAATTGTTCCATCGAGATTCCGCAGGTCCTCATTTCAGCAGATTAAAATTGAAATCTGTAACTAAAAGAATGAGTCAAGTCAAGTATCTGAGATTTCTACCTCTTCCAGAGTATGAAGCTGCTTTCAGACATGAGTATGTGTGAATGCAAATATCTCTGAGAGCGAGAGGGTATTAAATCCGCAGAAACTCGGGAGCGAGTTGCAGGGGTTGATGACCTTTTGAACACGCGACAGACGCAAAACTGTAAACAATTAAATTAACCCAAATATATCAGGATAAAAAAGCGGAGACCCAACAATTAAAAAACCACACATGTTAAAAAACCAAGGAACATGAATTAGGACACAGCTTGCAATTAAGATGGCAATTAACTGAATTGGGCAGTATATCTTCTTTAACAAGCAACTGCTTTACACTGCAGTCTCTTAACATTTTCCTTTCGCCTTGCGTTTTGCTGCCCCTGATATAACGCCCCTTAGAAATCAAAGATCAGCTGAGGTTCCACACCTATTCACAGAAACTTTTCACTGCTACACTTCATAAACTGTGTCTACATGCAGCAGAAGTTTTCTGCAGAAAAAGCTCTTAGAAAGTTCAGACTCTGATATTCTCCACACACACAGGAGATATTTAATGGTGACCTATGCCAAAACATGTTTTTTTATATTTAACCAAAACTACCATTTTACTTAGTTACAATTTTACAATTCTAGTAAACTTTAACCAAGGTGCTTTTGTTAGTATGTTGTTTGTACGCTCTGCATCCTCCACAACCACCACTAACCACACTGCAGTTAAATATACAAATATACATAGTATAATATACTAGTTTATTAATAAGAGGACTCCAAATATTATCCATCTATCCATTATCTATACAGCTTATCGTTTGAAGATAGCGGAGCCACTGGAGCCAATCCCAGCTGACATTGGGTGAGAGGCGGGGTTCACCCTGGACTTGTCACCAGCATATGGAACCAGGATTTTACCTACAAAATGTAATGTTTTGCAGCTTAGTTGTAATGAAACATGATTTTTAGTAGAATTAGCTAAAATAGAAAATGTTATCATTTCGGTCTGGCAACTCTTCAAGTGCTGCGTCAAGTCAAACTATATTTTTCCCTTATATATTCTGCTGCTGTGTAAATGAACCCCGTTGACTGAGAGATGCACTTATTGAAACTCTTTGGTCTCCAAACACACCTGCATTCTCTGACTAATCTGTTTACTCTGTAGCTTACAGCTGGAATTTAATAAAGCACAGAACCTCTTCCATTGTTTCGTCCTGGACATTTTCCATTTTAAGCATGAGCAGCCATGCATAGTGTGTCAACAATCATTTATCAGCAGATAACAAAAATGTGACTCTGTTTGTTAATAATAATTTATTTTCTAATTGTATGTATTTACTCTCTTTTGAAGGGCAAAGTGTTGTTGGTCTGCATTTAAAAGGAGTGATTGAGATCACATCCCAGATGACTATCAAATCAATAAATCACCTCTGTTTTGAGGGTTAGCATCAGTTTCAGGATTCTGGTGCGGGGCTGCTGCCGCTTCACATTCGGCAATAGATTATGTCGATGGAAAGCTGTTATGTAACAACTTTAAGACGGTATGCAGCCATGAGGAATCCTGTTAGTAAATTTAAAAGATAAAACATTTGTAATGCATATGGCTGAACTTCTTTGAACAAAGGACTGCAATGAAGAGGCTTTTTGTTTAGTTTTCTGTGGAGGTGAGGGAGCTGCGAGAGCACCTTCACCCACACCACAGAGGATCAATCAGCGCAGGTGACAGCTGTTAGCTGATTGATCCTCAGGTTTAACAGGCAGTGGCGGCGCTGCCTCGAGACACACACTCAGGACTGAGACACACTTGGAGAATCACAGAGATGGACAGAGACTAAGCTGCGAAGCTAGACGTCCAGCAGTAAGTGCTGGACCCTTTAAGTTAAGAGTTTTGTGACTTTGGTTTTGATTTAATAAAGCACGATAAAATGCTAAAGTCTGAGTGGTTTGTCTATGGCTGCTTTGGTGAGAGCCCCATGGCATGGTCAACTGCCACACTGGCGCCCCAACGTCGTGCTCCATGTAGCCAGAGATTCGGACCGGCAGGCAGAGATGGCGCTGGTACAGATAGCGGAGGACCTCAAGGCCACGTATTGGGTGCAGACGGCGGAGAGCAGACGGTGGATGGAGGCTTTCCAGAGGGAGGTGGAGAGGAACACGACGCTGCTCAAGTGTCTGCCGGCCCAGTTGTGGCCCGCTCCTGCTCCCACCTGCCGCACTGAAGGAGGCGGCAAGCGCGGCTCAGAGTCCACGTTCCCACACAATGCCGAAGTAGACGGCTTCTGTTCTCCACACTTGGTCTGGTCTCCAAGCTGCCGTTGGCTCCAAGGTTGGCGGTGAAGCCGACGCCTTCTCCTTCAAGGTCGGTGGTGAAGCTGATGCCCCCTGCTCCTGTTCCTGCTCCAAGGTCGGCAGTGAAGACGACGCCTCCTGCTCCTGTTCCTGCTCCAAGGTCGGCGATGAAGCCGATGCCCCCTGCTCCTGTTCCTGCTCTCCGGTCGGCACCTGCAGCCCCTGATCCAGGATCGGTGGAAAGGCCGACACCTGCAGCCCCTGTTCCTGGTCCCCGATTGTTGGAGAGGCCGACGCTTGCTGCCCCTGGTCCCCGATCAGCGGAGAGGCCACCACTTGCAGCCCCTGTTCCTGGTCCCTGGTCGGCGGAGAGGCTGACGCCTGCAGCCCCTGCAGCCCTTGTTCCTGTTTCCAGGGCGCCCATTTGGCAGCGCCCACCTCCCAAGCCATCCGGACAGACGCCCTGGACACTTTAAGTTTGAATTTTGGAGAGTTTTGTTTAAAAGCTTAATAAAGATGTTAAAACCTGATTGGTTCGTCTCTGGCTGCTGTGGTGAGAGCCCCATTTCTTTCACATTGATATTTCATATCAACATCACAAAAGACAACAGACATAAGTCATGGGCTGATAGACAAGAATAAACTGCTCATTATTGCCAACCACAAATCAATGAATGACTTAGCATTTTCCCACACCTCTGAGGACGACAGTAAAAACAGTGAAGTGTGACTTTACTGCAGTCCTGACATGAGGCGTAGCAAATATATTTTTATTTGATGTGTTCGCTTCACTGGATCATTCCACAATGGCATATGCACACTATTCATCTATTAACTGTATCTATTGCGTCTGGTTTGTGTGTATTCTCATGTCAAGCAGAGAATGAAAAACCGCACAGGTGATGAGATTCCCATGTCTCCCATGCCAAGCTGTGCTAAGCAGATGCAAGCTGGAGGGGGTTAGCCTGGGAGGTAGGGGAGGGGGAG